AATGTACTGCGGGAAAAAAAAATCTACCTCGTCAGTCATGTATTGAATGATACACAATAGCCTAAGCGTTTATCACGCAAGACACGTAACTGACTTGAAGCGGTGTTTGAACGTGATATGGTCGTATGCCTGTAAAAAAATTGTAGATATATATATACAGATAATGATTGATCCTGGACTTGAAGAGGTTAATATTGTAGTAACGATGTGCCCTCCTGTTTATTTTTTTCCACAGAGCAGCGGTTCTTGGGAAAAAAAAGGTGTTCAAATAGAGTTTCTTTTTCCGAATGGAATAAGAAAAGAATCGGCATGTGTATAAGGCATTGCAAGTTTTAGCTGTAAAAATCGGACCTGAAGTAACTGGAAAATGTACCTCTTCAGAACCTTTTTCCATGGAAACAACGACAGACTGGACTTGCAGCATTTCGTCTGTGAGAAAATGCTTGTAGTTAGGAAATATTTAAGTCCATGTAAATGCTTCTGGACTCTGTCGATAATGGAAAGATAGTAATGGGCATCTGTTGCACACACATAACAGCAATGGCCGTTTGATGTGTGTCTTTTAAAGTTAGAGCATGACAGGTGTATTCAGACACCTTCTGTAGCAGTATAAGAAGCCGATCGTTTTTCCAGCAACGAATCGTATATATACTTGCGGTCTGGGGTTAATTTGATTCCCAATAGATGCTTAAAACAAAGAGCCTCTTTGATAATGCATCCATTGATCATAACTGGCTACCATTAAGGATCAGATCGATTATAATGGTAAATTATTAGCTCTGTTTTTGAGTTATTGAAAATTAAAGCCAGTTTCCCCGCATTGGGCTGTTAGATCTAGGTCAGATGAAAGATTGATTGCCAGGCTCGGGTCATCTAGATATTGAGGTTTAAACCGTTGCAAATGCAAACAGAATTACACTTCCGGTTGAAGCTGTGGCTTTCAATTTGCACCAATGTTTTTCGAAAAGTCATACATCTCTCTATTCTACACGTTATCAGTAAAACAGCAGGAAAGACATGGTTTTCTAGACATTTACCGGCGATACGTGTAGGAAGAAAAAACAACGAGAAACTTCTTCACTACCCTATTTACATTATTCGGACTAATATCATCATCTTTGTTGCCATATTCATCACAACGTTTCGGCCGTTGTATGCTCTGGCCTTCTTCAGGTAGTCGAAATGTCGATCTGAACCTATTATTTCGCTCGCTGGGGTAGACTCTTCTAGTTCCACGTGCCATGTCTAATCGATGTCAGTTATCAGTTATCTCCTGTTAATTCACCTCTCCAAGTTCTCCACTGCCTTAACCAGGTATTGAACTCACTGCGCCATGAAATGAAATAGCATAGTGGATAAAGGACCCACAGAGTTGTGAGTCCAATATCTGGTTAGTGCAGTGGAGAACTTGAAGAGGTGAATTAACAGGAGATAACTGACTTCCATTAGACATGGCACGTGTAACTAGAACAGTTTACCCCAGCGAGCGAAATAAAGGGTTCAGTTCGACATTCCAACCACCTGAAGAAGGCCGGAGCGTACAACAACCGAAACCTTGTAATAAATATGGCAACAAAGATGAGAACAATTGTCCGAATAATATAAATAGTGTGCATAATACCTCATCTCAGAAATATAGAGAATTTCTTCACTACCTTTTCCAAGGACAAGTATACAATCTTACAAATATTAAAAACCAAAAAGCTGTGGAGAGCTATGATAAATTACAAACTAGAAGAATATAAACATAAAAGTTGCTAGCGTTTTCACTTGCGATAAATGAGTGAATTACCATAGGATTTTAAGTAATTTAACAATGAAAATATTTATAGTATGACTGTTATATTTGGTTCCGGCATCCAATTTTGATCATAAAGTTACTTTAAAATCAAGCAAAGTTGTAATGGTAATAGTAGCCGTTTCCTTATAAGGAAATATCTAGCATGTATTCTCTGAGCAGCCAGTGCCACTTTTGGCTGAAATTAATAAGATATTTCTCTTAAAACAATTTTTCAAGAAAATAAGTTTCTGTAGTCCAGTAATTGTTATTGCTCGTTCCAGTATTTCTAGTGACTTTCTTTCTAAACTTTCAAGAGTATTCATCTGGATTATTGCAAACATAACTTCTTTAAATTTAGGGTTAACTGGTATCTTTTCTACACGACCTCTTAAACTACACTTCTCTCTTCCTCCTCTTCCGTGCAACCACGTCAATCAGTAATCCTGTACTTTAAGTGCCTCATGGTTAGTGGTCTTAACGAAGAAAAGGGAAAAAAATCGGAACCAACGCTTGGCTACTGATTCGTGATAAAAACACAGATGAGGTTGTTAGCACGAGGTAAATAATGTAACAACTTCAGACAGAAAATCCCAGGAACTTACAGAAAGTTTATTTACCGTGCAGTATATACCGTATGTGCTCGTGTATAAACCGACGTCATGCATAGTGTGACCCATCGATTTTTGCATGAATTTTAACTCTTCCAGAAAAATTACCTGTGTATAATGCCACCGAATGTAGATCTGTGAAATATATCGTTTATCTGAAATATACATAGATATCTGCTATAATGATATGACCAACTGATGGTCAGAAATCTCGCCCCAAAAAAGGAAAAATAAGAAAGATGTGACGGCAATTTCATTGGCCCGTGAACTGACGAATCAACAATTAGCGAGAAAGCTAGATGTCTTGGTTTTAAAAATAATAAAACTCCTAGAATGGGAGCAAGAATTTACTAAATAATGTCTAAAAATTATAAAAGAAATACATATAGGATGATCTAGAAATTAAAATAAAATAATCTATAAACACGAAATTTTTCAAGAGAATATATTTAATGAATTCATTGTTCATCGTAATAGGTTTGTTCATAATGTTGACTTAGAGAATACAGTTTTAATTTAAAGAAGAAATATTTCAGGATGTGAATGTACAGAATTTCGGAAAATTCCTCGCTAAAATTACGTCCACGATAAATTTACGTCCATGGAAGATATCGCATATCTCCTTTTCTAACAAAATTACTGCTACTAAAATGTGCAATATGTAAAACAATAACAAAGCGGTAGAAAGCTGATATCAAGGTCATGATTTAAATATATAGTCAAATGGTAAAGATACGTTTCGGTTACAGGAACTGTATCTCTCATGGAGAAATGGTATAAAAGTACGATTCTACTCGTGAAGCACGTTCATTTTAGTATATATTTTATCACATATATACACTCCCACACAAACATATATATATATATATATATATATATATATATGTGTGTGTGTGTGTGTGTGTGTGTGTGTGTGTGTGTGTGTGTGTGTGTGTGTGTGAAAATATATAGAAAATTAGGAAGGAACTGGTTAGGTAAATAATCCGAAGTCCGTTAGTATTTTAGTTATTATTTTTTAAAAATAGTGCTCGATACAAAAGTAGAGCATAAATATAATTATTTATTTAAAAATAAGTCATTTTTTTTCATTATATATATATATATATATATATATATATATATAATGAAAAAAAATGGCAAGACATGCTTTACCATTCATGATTAAAAGGAAAAGAGGAAAAAAGTGACCAGCCGACTGGTTTCGCCCTCACTCAACAGAGCTGAAATCGAGGGAAGACTAAATATTGCAATATAAAATATAAAAACATGAGAAGCCTGTGATAAAATAAAGGTGGAAAGATCAGATGGAAACCATGTCAAGCCCTAACAGGCATTCCCTCTGTTCACAGAGGAAGGGCTGCCTGGACCTGGCATAATTTTGTACCCCAAGAAAATAATGAAATATGTATATATATATATATATATATATATATATATATTTGATAAATTAAAGTTTTAAGTCATGCTATAATTATGGATTAAAGTGTTCAAGGTCAGGGATAGAGCGTATGTAAATATTAAAATGGACATTGCTGTCAACACCCAACGCCGACAGTCTGTTCCATGCTAAATGCAAACATTAGGACATATGCTTTTTCTCGACTATTTATTTATACAAGTCACTGATGCTTTGTAGTTAGTCTATCATATTATTTTAACAGTTATTTTGGTGGACGGTAACGGTTATGTTCGAATTATTTTAACGTCTATTGTGTGGGAATATTTGTGGGTTCGGTTGCAGTTTTTGAACTATTTATAGTGATGTTTGTTAACTTTTGATTATTTATTGTTGGTAGCTATCATTACTTTTATATGTACATTCGTGGTTTGTTAATTTGTTTATTATTTACTTAGATTATTTACTTATTTATTGATTTGGATTAATTCCTTTTATTTATATTTGTTTATTTATTTTTTATTTTTTTATTTTTTTGTTGTTTATTCTTGTTCGTTTTTAGTTTTCGAATTTTAAGTACCGTAGTGAAAATTTGTTTTCCTGTCTGCAATTTTAGAGGAATTTATTTAGTAGTTTGTGTTGGTCTAGGAAGATCATTATAGTTATGTTCTCCTGCAGACAGAGTTTACAGTTTGGGGGTTTATTGTTGTATGTTGATACCGTTTTCCTTATTTTCTATATATTTGGTGTGATTTGTTTTTTGTTTTTAATCTCACAGATATATTTAGAAAGCATTGTGCTATTTACGTATTCACTATTTGTAAAGGATGTTTTGTGTCCGTAATTTTTTTATTTACACGGCCCTTCATTTACACCTATGTAGATTTTTCATCGTTATCTGCTGATTTTATAGTGGCTTAGTATATTACATTGCTCGGCAAGCGATTACAGTTTAAGGGTTATTCATTCTTTGTTCTGCAGTTACAGTGGTTGCTTTCGTGTTGTGCTTTTTTCTTATTTCTGTTTAATGAATATTTTTCCTGTATATGTTTTAAGTTTTTGTTGTATGGTCGGTTAAACCATATTATGCTTCTCTTATTTTTTAGGGTTATTTTGTAGTCTTTTTCTTAGCTTCATTGACGATGCATATTGCCTGACGATTGCGTTTAATATGTGAGAGACTTTTGCCTTTGCGTGTTGACTTCAATGCCATATA